CCTTTGGGGGCCCCCCCCTTTTCCTTTTTTTTTGGCCCCCCCCCCCCCCCCCCCCCAAAAAAAAAAAAAAATGAGAAAGTTTAACTCGAGAGACTTGTCAGATGATTTCTTATTGCTTTTTCTTCTTATTTTTTGCGTTGAAGAGCTGGCACACCCACACACACACACACCACACTGGCGACGAATAAACGAGCCAAGATGGCAGCTTCCACAGCCGTGAACACGGGCCGAGCCATTGGCAAATTGGGAACTGGCTTTACTGCCTTTTTCCTTTGTGACATGCAAGAGCGCTTTCGTGACCAAAGTCATCACTTTGCCGCCGTTGCCACCGTCTGCAACCGTCTGGTGATCTACCCTGCCACCACAGCTTGCTGATCTCCATCGTCGTGCCCAGACGATGGTGGCCCTGTATACCAGCGCGCGGACGCCTCACCGCTCTGTTCATGTTGCTGCCTGGCCACAGACGGCAGCGTCCAAGGTGATGAACATCCCTCTCATTGTCACAGAGCAGGTCAGTTTATGTTTGGGCCATGGAGAGTTGGGCTGCATCTGACTGCGTGATACTTGCCTGACACCTGTTGGATTGCACCTCCTCTGCTCGGCCGGCCTTGGCTGCTCCATACAGTACCCCAAAGGTCCGAAGCCAGCGCCTGGGTCGCGCGAGACGGTTTTCAGTAGGCAGTCTCGCTTGAAGCTGCTGCTGTGATGCTGCTAACCTTCGAGTCCTGCTGACCTGACATCGCTCGCGAATGGTCTCTCTTGATCTCAATTCTGTTGTCTACCTCTCTTCGCTGACGCTGCCCTCGATGCCATGCGTACCTCCCTCGCTTCTTGGCACGTACTCCCCTCGAATGTAGCTTTGGGCCATACAGTGCCGGAAATTGTCCATGATCACGCTGTCATCAACGTACCCAAAACTAAATTCTCCATGGTCACGGATGAGGTTCAAAGCTACCTGAAGGAGAACACCCACGTCAAGTCAGCCCTCCTTTTTGGCATTGAGGTACGAAGTTACCAGCCGCGGCAGCTGAGACAGCTCCCAGTCCAAACATCGGCTCGCTGACATCCTCTCACTGAGGTGCATGGCATATGGGTGCAACGCAGGCACACGTGTGTGTATTGCAAACAGCCCTCGACCTGCTGGAGGATGGCTATGACGTGCACGTCGTAGTCGATGCTACCTCTTCTCGCAATCCGCCGGAGCGCATGTATGCCTTTGAGGTTTGTTTCACTCGGGGTGGAGGCGACCACACTGTTTGTGGATGCCATGCTGTGTTTGCCGCACGGCTCGTGCGCTCATCGACGGGACTTTTTTTTTTTTTAATCGCAGCGAATGCGCCAATCCGGTGCCTTTCTCACCACGGCTGAGTCAGCCCTCTTTCAGCTCATGGGTGACAGCAAGCACGAGCACTTCAAGGAGGTGCAGAAGCTCATCAAGGACCTGCCACCCGACTCGGGCCTGCTGGCTGCTCGCGTGCAGTAGATCATCTGGTCATCTCACTGTTGTCTGGCTGTGTTTCTCAATCCCAAGCAGTGCAATCCCGTACATTCAATGGCTGCAGTTATTTCAATTTACCCAGCTTTGCGATACGATGCGAGATGTCAGGACGAGACACAACCAGGCAGCATTTCTCAAGCACAGCACGAAGAAACGAAAAGAGCCTGGGTTCAAAAGCCGACCGCAGAAGCAGCCAGACAGCGCGCACAGCGCGAATGCATTCCTGGACAGGAAACAGAGATACGGTTTAGCTTACGAGCAAGCCTTGGGCTGGTAGGGCCCTGGACTCCACTGCGCGTCGACAACGAGGCATTGGGTTGACTGGAGTTCTCGGTTTGCTCATTGACCAAGCATGAAGGAGCAGTGGCTCTGCAGGGTCACGATGCGGTCGCCTTCTTCATACGGCGTAACGTTCGCAGCTATCACACAGTGTTGGCACAGAATGCGGTGAGATCCAGCCAGGGGCACAGTTAAAAAGCGAGAGCCCACCCATGCTCGCTCGCTCCGTCTTTTTCTCCTCTTAAAAAAAACTGGTAGTCCGACAAGAGGGCGTATGCAAGATCATTCCATCGGGACCAAGGGGGGAAACATGAACGAATAGTAGCACGCACCCGAAACGCAGGACTGGAGTTGCTACGTTGACGAAGCTGAGCTGGAGCGGCAGTCACCGCATCTTCCGTATCTGGTCGGTGTTTGCTGGCACTGCCAATATGAAAGTCATTCTCATGACCAAAGGTGTCCATCATTGTGGGTATCGGCCCGCGGCGTCGTGCCGAGCTGGTCTGGCGCAGGGAACGGTACTTGTGCACATTGGTCTTGATGGCCGCCAAGTCGGTGTCCTGGAGTTTGATGCCGTCGTTTTCCGTGGCCTCATAAAACCAGGCCAGCGTCGTCTGAACCACGGGCGACAACGTCAAGAGGTCAGCCTTGGAACCCTCACGACTGCCGATGGAGGCCGGAGGGGCTCGCCAGCTGGCACTTGTGTCCAAGATCTCGGCATTCATGATGGCAGCTGAGAAGAGCGACAACGAGTGAGTGACTGCGTGCATAACCGAACGATAAAATGGAGCGTCACTGCTCCATCGAGTTCACACACACGTCTGGTTCGAATCTGTAGACATATCTAACGACGAACATGCGAGGTCGTTGCGAGTCAAGAAGGTTTGGCCAGCGAGCACGCCCGTGCGCTCGCATGAAACAGGCATGCAGGGTGGTGGCGCGTCGAAAATGTGCCCGCCGCCATGACCCATATTCCATGCATTCGTGCAGGCATCGAGGCCGATGACCGATGTCAGATGTCAGACATTATAGTTCAGGGTCAATCTGTACGAGTTGGCATTATTTTGACCCCACAACAGGTTCACTTTCTCTCCCTTCTCTTCACTCCATCAGGTACGTTGGCTTTGGCAGTCGGACCCTTCGGCCCTGGAAGTCTGGTCCAATGGAGACGGGCACTTGGTTGAAGGCAGCTCAAGCTTTTAACACGCATCACGGGCGGGAAAAAAAATGCCATCAACCTTGATGAATTTTGCTCTTTCGCTGACTCTACTTTTTTCTTTTTTTTTCCTGTTGGTGGGCGAGTAGCAGCCGATATCATGTGGACTGAATCGATTCCGGCCTTTGCCGTGATCATTGGTGGCATGGCCTCCTCTGGTCTGATCATTGGTGGCATTCAGAGCCTGTTCCACAGTGGCCATGTAAGTGTCATTCTCAGGGAGTCAAACTGAGCACGCATGTGCACCGCAGCTCAAACTGTTCTGAACTTCTGAGAAGGTCTCACAATTCATCCCTCCCTCTTGATGCTTGACAGACCCGCAAGCATGGTTTGGACAGCTTTAGCCGTGCCATGATGCAGCGCGATGAAGCCATCACTGGCAAGCAGTATGCACAGAACGCGGACCTGGACTTTGTGCCCTCGGCATAAACCGCTGCAGCATGTGCGCAACCTCCTCGAGGACACACCAAAGTTGTTTCTGTTTTAGCCCGGACCGGTCGAGTTTGTGTGTGAGCCGCACACCATGTCAAGTCTTGCTATTGGGGCTTCCGATGGATATTGGTCTGTCATGGTTGGGTGCAGGAACATGCACCCTTGACTGCTGCTTTTGGTGTGGGTATCAGCCTCGCTTGTTCTTGTGTGTGTATATGTTTTTTTTTCTTCTTCAGAATATGACTGGTTGTTAGTTTCGAACCGGCCGATTCAACTTTTGCCGGGAGAGTCGCCTCTTTTTGAGCACTCTCTGCGGCCTTTTCTTCGTACTCACTAAGGAGAAACAAGAGTCACCCTTTTTTTTTTGTCTCTTGTTTTGTCGGGCAATGTGCTCTTGCTTGTCAAGCTCGTGCCAGCGTTGTTACTCGCCGCCCCGTGTTTTACTTGTATCCAGACTTGGTGGGAAGAGTGGTGCGGACAATCGTCTCCCAGCCTTGCTGCATTGACGTGCAACCTCTCTATTTTTTTTTTTCGCCTGGTGGCGTCCTGGACTCGCGTCAGAGCCGCGATGATCCAGCCCACAAGTGCCGCCTTGTGTCCAGTGCTGTGCCGCGGTCGGCTTTTATTGGACCGGCGTGCTCAGCGTTGCTCAATCCATCAACACTATGCCCTTGCCCACGACTCTTGCTCTCTTCATGCGTCCAAGCCTGCTTTCACATGGACGCAAGGTCTATATGAGGCTGCGCCTGTCTTTCTGCAGCCATGCGTGACCAAGTGGGGCGAGGGAAGGCCCCAAAAAACAAAAAGAATAACCGGTTCGTTTCCAGTCGCAAAAGAGAGGCGCACGGCTGAACAACAAAGTGCAAGTGGTCGTGCAGGGGCGCAGGGCAAAGGAGGCAACCCTTCGCTTGCTTGTTCACATGTCAATTGGAATTGAAGGACGGTAAAAGAGCACCAGAGCCAGGAATTCACAGGCGGCTCAGCCGCCAGAGGGAAGGAAGCAGGACGGGGTCGAGGGAGTGGAAAGAAAGAAAGCACAAGAAGTAAAGACGGAGAGGCATATGACAAGAAGCGCAGGCGAAGGAGCTAGACAAGGATTGAAGCCGAGGGGACACACACACCCACACATACACACACACTCACTTACGCACAGAGAGAAAAAAAAAAAGACAACGGGAAACATGCCCCGGCACTCATCGTTGTGATGCCTCATGCCGAGCCAAAGACGCTGTATTTGGCATACTCGGCATCTTCCAGCGCCTGCTGCTCCTGCGCCGTCTTGGGCTTGCTCTTCTTCTTGGGCTTTTTGGCCACGCGTTCGGCCATGAGCTGTCCGCAGACGCAAGCCCGAGAGAAACAGTCCGAGTGTGTGAGCGGGTCGCGAGCAGGCTGGGCACGCATCAGCGGTCGAGGGTGAAGGCCAGAACCGTACCTTGCGGAGGTGTGTACGCTCGGTTTTGATGCCGCGGAGGGCAGCCATGTTGGAGGCTGTATGATCAGGTCGTTCCAGCGTTGCTAGTTGCTCTATTCGCGTCAGAGGTCTGAGGATGAGGAAGCCGCCTCTCCAGACAGCAATCAAGAACACATGGCGTCTGGCATACCAAGCTTGGCCATCATGCGGTCTTCCTCGAGCTTGGGTCGCTTGTTCTTGGGACGACGTTTACCACGACCCTTCGTTTCGCTTGCGGCCGTCACAGCCGGGCCCTGGAGCAAGGCCAGGGCCTGATGTGCAATTTTTCGCGACATGCTCCTGCAGCTTCGCAGCGAAGACAGAAAGAGACGAGAATGAAAAAGATAGAGAGAGAGAGAGAGAGGGAGAGAGAGAGAGAGAGAGAGAGAGAGAGAGAGAGAGAGAGACGAGACACGCGCACACACACGTTTTGTTTGACTTTTTGACCTTTTGCCGACTTTTGCTGACATTTTTCTCATATGACATTCTGACATTCTGGCTTTCGAACAGCATCGTGCATGCATGCTTGAAAAACCGGCAACCAGCAGACAAGGATTTATCGGGTTAGGACGATAGTCTTGGTGATGGTTGGCCGATCGACGATCCTTCTGGTTGTCGTATCGGGCACCATCACACACCGCGCTCCACCAAAAAACCCTGCATGGAAAGGTTGCGCGTCAAGTGGGTCCCTCCTTCCGGCCGAACAAAAGAAACCCACTGTCCCGTGACAACAACATGCACAAGCTGTGTTGGGCGTACAACAGAAAGACAGATACAGAGACAGAGAGAGAAACAGAGAGAGAAACAGAGAGAGAAACAGAGAGTGAGAGAGACAGAGAGAGGAACAGAGACACAGAGAGAGAGAGACTGAAACAGAGAGACAGAGAAGAGACCAGGCTCACTCAGACGCACAGGCAGTCCCAGGCAACGTGAAAAGTAAGGGCACACACAAAGAAGATTCATCAGACACACACACACTCTGTTGTCTCTGTCTTTCTCTATGATTTTATTTTTTTTCTCCTTGGGACGGCTTCTGACCCCCGCCCGGCACTTCCGGGCTTTTGACTTTTGCTCTACGTTCCTCCCGTGTTGACGATCCTTGTTCCGCTGCCCTGGCTGGTTGGCCAAGGCGTGGTTCCTTTCGTGCCCGGGCGTTTCGAGCAGGCCACGGCCCACCTCATCTCTTTCTGACCCAGATCACAGGTTGTGATCTGGTTATTCCTGAGGAGGGACCGTCGGCTCATCCCGAGCGCCACAGCTTGGTTATCATCTCTGCACACCCCGTGCCGTGACATACAACACCCAATTGCAGAGGGTGAAGCTGCTTGCCAAGCAAAGGCTCACCCACCCGAGGCTATGCGCCGCCACGGCACCACGTCCTATTGGACGTGGTGCTTGCTTGCAGCGTGCCTCTTGACGTTTGCTCCGCTCAATACCAAGGCCGACTGTGTTGGCGTTAACATCACCAGTGTCGAGCCCCGGTGCGTCACATCGTGGATTTGTTCTTCCCGCCACTCCTGCGTTGTTTGCACCCCCTCTCACACCCAAGCCGCCTGATGCTGGGTCTCCTCCTTTCAGCATTGGCCTGCCCGGGACGCGGGTTACCGTGCATGGCTGTGGCCTCGATGACGCCAACATCGTCAAACTCGTCCTGGCCTCAGATGGTGACTCGGTCGGTGAGGGCCAGGAATTTTTGACTGCCGACTTTGACGCTGCCTCCAATGACACGGCCATCCTGGTCACCGTCAAAGCCTTGGCCCCTACGGACATTTTCGGCCCGGCCGGCGACGTAGCCCTCTTTGACAGTACAACAGCCCTGTCGACGCTCGTCAACGAATCAGAGTTTGCCTTTCAAGTCCTGCGAAGTTTGTTCTCTCCCCCGCCCCATCTTATTGTAGCCCACCCCATTGCCGCAAGCGTCAACTGATTCTCGTGCTCCTTTCTGACTCGCCATGACGACTGTGTATCATTCCCATCCTTTGCTTCAAATATCAATCTATCGCTGTAGGTTTCACCATCGAGCCGGCTGTCGATGCTGTCGAGGTACAGGATGGTACACGGGTAACGATGGACATTGAATTTGGCGAGGCATGGGCCAGTGCTGAATCCATTGACACCTTTTTGCTGGCCGACAGCGTACCCGCCATGGTCGAGTCTCGCCGACTGCTGTCTCGTCGCTTTGGCTTTGTCAAGTACGAGTTTGTGCTGCGTGCCGGCCTGGCTGCTCCCGGCACCTTTGGTCAATCCATTGTTGTCACAGCACAAGACGGTGCCACCACCACCTACACCGAATTCAACGTCACCTACGTTGAGGCAGGCAATATCACGAGGTCCGGGTCTCTTCTTGCTTTTCGAACCGACTAGACACACCTTGCCTCGCTGTCATGCTTTCATGTTTGCCCGTCGTCTTGCTCATCCTGTCGTATCTACCTGGATCGCCCTTTTTTTTTACTTTTTTTATTTTTTATTTTTCCATTTAGCGTTGTGCCCGAGTCTGGTATCTACGGTACCACCGTGACCTTGACAGGCCATGCTCTCTTTGGCGCCGTCGGTGGCAGTGGAGTCGACACCATCAGCATCAACGGCCAGGAGGCGCTTGCCATTTCCTCTGAGACGGCCACCGAAGTCGTCTTTCGTGTGGGGCATAGCATTGGCACACTTCAAGAAAACGCCACCCTCCAAATCGTGGCAACTGACGGCTCACGCACCACCCTCGCAAACGTCTTTGACCGCCTGCTGGACAGCAACGTCACCAGTGTCGAACCCCCCGCGGCGCAAGTAGGCCGCCTCGTGACTCTCACAGGCGAGCGTCTTCTTGGCATTGACCCAGCCGCTACCCTCACCAGCCTCACTGTCGGCGACGAGGAAGCTGTGGCCGGCATCGTGTCACAGACGGCAGACACGGTCGTCTTTGTGGTGCCCGCTGCAGCTGCGGCGGGGAATTATCCCCTGGCTGGCGAGAGCTCCGATGACTCGATCCTGATCTCTCCCCTCAATCTCACAGTTGCCGCAATTTCCGCGGCCACCCCAGTCAGTGGACAGCAGGGCACTCGCATCACGCTGGATGGCGTTGGCTTGCTTTCGGGGGGTGCTGCTCTAAGCAGCGCTAGCGTTGGTGGCGTCACTGCCACTGTTCTTAATGCTTCAGCTTCCCAAGTCATCTTGGTTCTTGGATCAGGAGCCCCAGGCGTGGCAGAGATTGTACTTGTTGCTGACAACGGCTACAACGTCTCGGATGATACTCTCTTTAGTTATAGCCCCCGCTCTACCATTACCTCCGTCGAGCCCAGTAGGTCACAGCCGTTCTCCTTGCCCTGCCAGAAAATCCTTTCCCATCTCTCCGTTTGCACTTCAGACTGCATCTTATATCTTTTCAGCGCGAATTTTCGTTGTTCATGCTTTGGTGCTTTCGCTTCCCGACGACCCCCACTCGCCTCGATGCTCACTTTTTGTTCCCTTGCCTGCCTCAATTAGCTTCGGGCCAACAGGGTACACGGATATCCGTGCACGGCACTACGCTGCTTGGCGGCGGCACCAACATCACGTCAGCCGTTGTGGATGGTGCTCCAGCTGAGGTGGACTTTGCCAACGACACGCTCGTAGTTCTCGTGGCGTCCTCAAACCCACCGGGCGAGGGTGACGTCACCATTACAGCTGACACGGGCGCCGTGGCCACGCTGGTGGATGGTTTCATCTACATACCCGAGGGCACCGTGTCGACCGTCACGCCCACTTCTGGTGGCTATGGCACTTCGGTTGGTTTTTTGCTCTTCCTAACCTTGCCTCGCTGTGCCAAGTGCTTGGTTCCTGCACACAGATTGACTTGCTACTCGCGTGCCCATGTAATTAGATCACCTTGACAGGCCGTTCCATGTTGGGCGGTGGATCTCAATTAATTTCTGCGCGCATTGGCAGCGTGGCTGCGAACGTGTCTTCAGCATCCGATCTCGAGGTCGTTCTTAATCTCGCGGGATCTGGCACAGATGTGGCCCCCATTGATCTGCTTGCTGACACAGGCGCCCGAGTACGCTCAACTCAAACATTTACACTCATACCTGCCGTCAATATCAGCGCGGTGGTTCCCGTCAATGGGACGTTAGGTACCCGCATCACCATATCTGGTAGCCATCTTCTGCAGGGCTCCCCCTCGCTTTCCCTCGTGACCGTGGGTGGAGAAGAGAGTCCCGTCATATATAGCGCCAACGACACGCAAATCGTGTTTGCGGCTCCTCTCAAGGCTCTCTCCGTAGCGCCTGAAGATATTGGAATTGTGGGCTCCAACGGTGCTTTCTATGATTTGGCAGCCCGCTTTGAGTTTGTCACTCCGGGCACCATCTCCAGCGTAGATCCTGCTCGAGGCACCGGCGGTTCGTTTTGGTTTCTGTCCCTCTTAGTTTCTTTCTTCTCTTTTCTTGCTTTGTCAGCAGGGTTGCCCTTGCTTCCGTGTTCCACCCCGCGCGTCGCACCCGCGCCTCTTCACGATCTTTGCATGGCTTGTAGGCACCATCATCACGGTGCTTGGGACCAGGCTCACCACTCTGGGCGACAACGTGACCGACGCCACCGTTGGCGGCATAGCAGCTGAGGTTCTCAATGCTTCTAGTACCTTTGCTGTTCTGCGCGTGGGCAATCAGACCCAAGCTCAGGTGGCCGCCCCCATCGTGCTTACAAGCGATGTCGGTACACAAGCTACTGGCGGTGTCTTCGACTACATTGACCCTCCTGTCATTACCCTGGTTTCGCCATCCGTTGCCGTCACTGGCTCGGAGATCAAAATCACTGGCAATCGCTTAACGTGCGGTGGGGCCGGTGTGCTCAGCGCTACGCTTGCAGGCGTTCCCGTCACCACCATCAGCGAAGACACAAGCAGCCTCGTCACAGTTGTAGCTGGCCAAAACCCTAACCCCGACGGTAACACGACCGGCGATGTCGTCCTGTTTTGTTCCAATGGAGCCACCGTCTTTGCCAGCGGACTCTTTCGCTATCAACCGGATGGTAACATCACCAACGTGGAGCCGTCCTCGGGTCAATATGGCACACGCGTTACCATCCGCGGTCTGGAGCTTCTGGGCAATCCACCTTCCACGCTCCGGAGCGTCAAACTGGCCGGCGTTGAGGCTACCGTGGTCTCCGCCACAGATGCCGAGGTCGTAGTCGCAGCCGGCCCGTCCTTTTTTGCACGCCAGGGAGATGTTGTTATCGAGACTCGCACCGGTGCCATCTTCCGGTCCCCGAATGCCTTTGAATATATTCCCGAGGGCACCGTCTTCTCGGTCACACCTTCCTCCGGCCAAATTGCAACATTGGTCACACTCACTGGTTCTAGTCTGCGTGGAGGTGGTGCATCAATTGCGCAGCTCACCCTTGGCGGCATCAACGTCACGGACCTTCGCAACGAGACGGACAGTCTCATCATTTTTGCTGTCCCAAACATGACAGAATCAGCAACAGCTCGCGATATTGTGATCACATCCGACACTGGCGCTAGCGTGATCCGCAACCGCGCCTTTACCGTTCTCGAACCAGGCATCATCACCAGCATCTCTCCCGAAAGTGGCACGCACGGCACCTACGTGACCACCGTGGGTGAGCGACTCCTGGGCAACGGTGCAACCGTCACGCTCGGTGGAATTGAAGCCCTTGAGCTGGTGCATGGTAATGATACAGTGGTTGTATTTCGAGTGGGCGATAACGAGCGCGACACAAGCGCTGCAACCAATCTCGTCATTACGGCTGCTTCGGGACCCGCCACGGTGTACTCTGGCAATTGGACCTGGATTAACAGCAGCGTTGTCAGTGCCATTAGCCCAACCTCTGGGCAGCGCGCAACACGTGTGACTTTGACAGGCACCAGTCTTTTGGGTAGTGGCAGCACCATATCTCAGGTATCATTTGGCGCCGTCAACTCCACCGTCGTGCACAGCAACGACACATCCATTGTGGTTCTGCTCGGCCCCAATGGTGCTCTCGCAGGCAATGTTTCAGTCACAATCGAAGCCGATACGGGCGCGTTGGCTTTTGTGGCTGAGCCCTTCCTTTTGCTGGCACAAGGCACCATCACAAGCTTCGTTCCCACTTCAGGCACACGTGGGACGCGCATCACTGTCTTTGGCGAGAACTTGCTAGCTGGGGCCGACAACCTCACTTCCATTGTGGCCAATGGTCAAGCACTGACCCCTCTGCACATCAATGATACAGTCATCGTGGCAGCGGTTCCAATCGCCGCGGCGGCCTCCTCCGGTCCCATCCGGCTCACCTTGACTTCGGGGGCAGAGGTGGAATCGACATCCGATTTCACTTTTTTACCACCCGCTACATTCACTGCCGTGAATCCGACTTCGGGTGTCCAGGGCACGCGTGTCACGCTGCAAGGCACAGGACTCTTGGGCGGCGCCGCCACGGCCACAGTATACATGGGCTTGACCATGGCCCAGGTACGTTCCTGGCTTCATTTTTCCCCAGCTGCCCATCCAGTCTAGCAGTAGCACCGTGGCAATTCACCCCATGTGGTTGCTCTTTCTCATGCGCATGCCCGGTACCTGCCACATGCTCTTTAGATTGATGGCAACGCTTCAGACACCGAAATTGTGATCATTACCCCAGCCGTTCCCCCGGGCGACTACACCTTTGCAGTCGAAGGCGACACCGGCGCCACGATCACCGCTAATGATAATTTCACTTACGGCGTGGATGGTATCATTTCCGGTATGTTTCAGGCCTGGTAGTTTATAGCCTTGCCTGTGGGTGCGTGGGTGTGGAGGCAACTCAAACCCTCAGCCCATATCCTTTCACTTGAGTTTGCTTACCTACGACTCACTGATGCGTATCGCCCGTTGGACGATAGCCATCTCGCCTGCGTTTGGTCAAGAGGGCACGCGTGTCACAATCACAGGCACAGGCCTCCTATCTCTTGGCACAAGTGTTGCAAGTGTCCTCTTTGGCTCCGTCGAGTCGACCGAGATACATACTGCAACCGATACGACTATCGTCTTGGATATGCCGGCCAATGTTCCAGCCGGCCCCACATTAGTAACAATCGTCGCCGATACAGGCGGGCGTGTAAGTGCAAGTGACCTCTTTACGGCATTGCAAGTGGGCAACATTGCTAGCGTGGATCCTGTTTCGGGCCAACAAGGTCGGTTCGCCCTGCAATTGCCGCCCTCTCCCTCTCTTCTTATATCACAACTTTTCGGCAGGAGGATATGCTTGCTCCATTGGCGTGCTGTGCATATTAACATAAACACGCCTTGCTCCCACCTGGTTTGATAGGTACACGAGTGACCATCTCTGGGTCCAGCCTGTTTGGAAACGGCACTGCCATTACCTACGTCACCATCAATGGCATCAACGCCTCTGCGATTGAGTTTGCCAATCAAACAGTGGTCGTGGTCGTCGCTGGCTACTCGCCAACTGCTACGGCTGCCGGTGATGTGCTTGTGGTAGCCGACTCAGGTGCAGAGGTCACTGAACAGGCAGCGTTTACGTACGTGAGTGCGGCCGTCATCACCGCGGTGCAACCACCAGGTCTTCAAATTGGCAAGCGCATCACAATTACTGGCACCAACCTGTTCTCTGGAGCCTCCAACATTTCCCGTGTATCTATCGACAACCAGGATGTGCAGACGATTCTTTCCATTTCCTCGACTGAAATCGTCATTCGATCCCCGGCAGGGCTTGAGGGCAGTGCCGCTACTGTGCGTATCGAAGCAACCTCAGGTGCCTTTGTTGAGGCAGCTGCTCTTGCAAGTTTTGAGGCCCCAAGCACAATTACTTCAGTGACACCCCTTCGTGGCATGAACGGCACGTCGGTGACCGTTCTTGGTACTCACCTTTTTGGTGTTAGCAATGGGACAACCATTACCGTGGCGACGCTCGCTGATGTGGATGCTCGGGTTCAATTCGAAAACCAAAGCATGGTCATCTTGCTCGCAGGTGAAGGGGCTTCTTTAAATGGGTCAATCACACTCGAGGCTGACTCGGGTGCACGGGTCGTAGCGACTGACACCTTTGAATATGTGGCCACTCCCGAGATTGTGGCGATTTCTCCTGCCTCGGGTGTAACGGGAACGCGTGTGACGTTGAGTGGAGTAGAGCTTCTGGGTGGCAGTGAGGTGAGCCCCACTGTGGAGCTCGCTGGTCTCTCAGCACGCGTACTCTCTTTTAATGCGACCAGCATCGTGCTTGAGGCAGGTGCCGGCGTTCTTGAATCGGGCGTCGCTGTCATTCGTTCAGCCAATGGGGGCGTCATCCACTCAGATCCGAGTGTCAACTTTACTTTCGTGAACAGCTCAGAGATCATGAGTGTTACCCCTTTGAGTGGCCAAGGCGGTGTATTGGTCACCATTCAGGGCACTGCCATGCTGGCAGGAGGCTCAAGTATCGCCAGCGTACAGTTGGCTGGGATTGCTGCCACCATCCTGCCGGGAGCTGCAAACGACACTTACATCATCGTGTCAGCTGGTCCCAACCCCACAGGCAATGCGACCAATGGGTCGGTGATAGTTACCAGTGACAACGGCGCAGTCACCTCCTTTGAAACTTTTTTCTATCTGCAGGTATGTTCTTGGTGGAATTTTGCATGATTGCTTCTACAGCGGTTACCAACACCCGTTTTTCTGGATTGACCTGCTGTGTGTGTGAGTAGAGCGGCGTGATATCTTTGGTGGAGCCCGCATCCGGTCAGGTTGGGACCTACGTCACCATAAGTGGCCGTGATCTAACCGCAGGAGGAAGCAATATTGTCAATGCTACGGTGGGAGGGTTCGAAGCGAGCGTCATCGCCCAGAATGACACCCTGGTGATACTTCGCCTTGGCCAAGGCCCTGCGTTCTCGGGCGGCACAACGCAAGTCTCTTCTGAATTGCGCCTCATCAGCGACTTGAGCTCCTTTGTCGTCGCACCTGACCCCTTTGTTTACCTTGAGCCTGGCGAAGTCTTGCTCGTTGACAACCCGCGAGGACAGGGTGGACTGGAAATCAAGCTCTTTGGCACCAACTTGTGCGGCAATGGCGCCACTGACGTAGCGAACGCAACAATTGTCGGTGTTCCCGTGACAAGCGTTACTGCTGACCAGAACTGTCAAATTGTCACCTTGGTGGCAGCTTTCAACGACATCGCAGCGGACGAAACAGGAGATATCGTGGTAGAGGGCGACACGGGTGCCGTCGTAACGGCGACCAACGCCTTTACCTATGTGCCACCCAGCGTGATTGAGTCCATTTCGCCGGACGTTGCGCGTGGCGGTGACCAGGTCACCATCACAGGCGTTAGCCTTTACGGCGGTGGTTCCAGCGTGGAATTCGTGACCTTTGCAGGCATTCCGGCGCTCATCGAATCTTTCAATCGCACGGTTATTATCGCAACTGTCGGCGAAGGCCCTCGTTCCGTGGACACGCACATTGGCGACGTTGCCATCACCACTGACGTGAATGTTGTCATCACCAAGGCGAACGGCTTTGCTTATAGCATGGTTACCGCCATCACCCCGGCGTATGGTCAACAAGGAACTTTGGTCACAATTCGTGGCCATGGATTATCAGGAGGCGGACTTGAGATTGTCGGCGTGAGTCTAATCAATATTGAGGCCACAATCAGAGCGGCCAACGATACGTTTATTCTGGTCGAAGCCGCGGCGCATTCAATCTCATCCGCTCAATCAGGCCTGGCCCGCATCACCTTGAATGATACTCGGACCGTGATTTCGGAAAGCGGGACATCAGCCCAATTCCAATATGAATTTCAGTATCGTCCCACCGGAAGGATCACGTCTGTCACCCCGGGCCGTGGGACCGGTGATTCAATTGTTACGATATCTGGGACTCAGCTGTTTGGTCATGCCACTGCGTTGAACCAGGTTCTCTTCAACGAGACGGTCGTGGAAATATCAAACGCCACAGCCCCGAACACGAGTCAAATTGTAGTCGTTGCGCCGAATCACACTGCAGGCGTCGTCGACATTCGGGTTGAGGCTAGCTCCGGTGCCTACATCGCGCTTGAGAAAGCCTTTGAGTATCTTGCACCTGCCAACATTGACAGCGTTGTGCCCAGCAGCATCCACGCGGGCACACGCGTCACCATTAGTGGTACTTCGCTCCTGGCGGGTGCTTCATCGCTCAGCAGCGTGACGCTTGCCGGTGTTGCTGTGGAATCTATTGTAAGTGCCACGGAGAGCTCAGTCGTGGCGGTTGCTGCAGCATCGCCCGCGGCGGTTGTGGGAGGCAATGCTGTGCTTGTTTCAAACAACGGGGCACAGGTGTCACTGGCCGGCGTTGTGGACTATGTCGCCCCCGGGGTCGTGACAAGCATTGAACCAGCGCGTGTCACGGCTGGAACACTAGTCACTATCGTCGGTACCACGCTGCTGGGTGGCTCTGCGGCTAACCCTCTGCCTACGGTAGAACTGGGTGGTCATGTCGCGGCTGTGCAGTCAGCCAACGAGACAATGATTGTGGTGATTGCACCGACAGCGCCAGACGGCAGCAGTAACATCAGCATCATCGCTGCCAGTGGCGCTGAGGTAACCCATGGTGATGCCTTTTATGTGTATGTGTCTGCCCCGGTCGTGAGCCGGGTCGAGCCTGTGCAGGGCCAAGTGGGAACCATCATCACAATCGTTGGTGAGCAGCTCTTCGGCGGCGCTGATGAAAAGCCGACAGCTGTGGTGATTGGCGGCACACCTGTGGCATCTATTGATAGCAACAGCAACAACACGCACGTTATTGTCACCTTGGCCGAGCCTGCAGTGATTGGACCAGCCAACATAAGCTTAACCAGCGCTAATGGCGCACCCATCGTTGAGAGTGACACGTCACTCTTCACATATTTGGTGGCAGGTGAGATTACGAATGTGCAACCCGCCACGGGTACGCGCGGTACGCGTGTAGTTCTCGAGGGTACGAACTTGGACCTTGGCTCGACGGTGACGCGCGTGCTCCTGGGTGGTTCGGTCATCACGGACTTTGATGTGGCCGCGGGTGCTGGGCAAATTGTGCTTACGGCACCTGCCGGCACTGCCGGAGGTCCGGTCAGTGTGATTATTGAGACAGAACATGGGGCCACGGCAACTCTTGCATCCTCGTGGACGTTCGTGCCCGCTGGCGTTATCAGCAGCATTGCCCCTGCCTCGGGTCAAGGCGGTGCCCTGGTGACAATCACCGGTACCTCTCTCCTGGGGGGCGCGAGCAATGTGAGCCACGTTCTGGTAGATGGTATCAATGTAACACGCATTGAATCACTCAGTAACACGGAAATTGTGGTTGAGGTTGCTGTCCAACCAGCCGGAGATGTGACAGGTGTTGAAGGATCCGTACGCGTTGTTGCCGATTCTGGTGCTTTTGTGGAGTCACTGGGCTTTACATATACACCGGCGCCCATTGTGACCTCTGTCGAACCGCTGCAAGGTCAAAAGGGCACGCGCGTGACCATTTCTGGAAGCAACTTACGTCAGGGTGCCAGTGCTGTATCAGCTGTGCTGCTGGCCGGGCGCTCGGCAACTGTCATCAGTGAAGACGACAGTGAGGTGGTGGTTGAAGCACCTGATGGCACGGCGCTCGGACCATTGCCGGTTGCCGTGCAGGCCTCTTCGGGGGCTAGCGTTTTGAGTGACATTGCAACCGCAAATTTCACCTTCTTGGAGCGTGGGGTCGTGAGCAACGTAGAGCCCAGCTCGGGTGGCCGCGGGTCGCGCGTGACCTTGAGTGGCACCAATCTTTTTGGTGGCGCTGCAGCCCAGCCGACCAGTGTGACCATTGGGGGCGTTGCGACCTCGATTGTGAGTGCAAACGATACAGTTGTAGTCGTCGTTGTAGGCATTGTGCCGGCAGCCGATGGCGCTGCGGCTCTTGAAGTCGTGGGCAGCGCCGGTGCTGACATTGACGAGACGGTCACGTTTGAGTTCTTGACACCCGGGGTGCTAAATAGCGTGGCGCCTGCCATCGGTGTTTTTGGTACGCGCGTTACCTTGCAAGGCACTGACCTTCTGGGTGATGGCAATAGCGTGCTTGATGTGCTCTTGAATGGCGTCTCGGCGTGGGAAGTTGAATCCTCTTCCCAAACTGAGATTGTTGTGCGAGCGCCTTACAGTGCCACAGGCTCAGCTGCTCCGGGCGAGGTCCGCATTATTAGCGATACGGGTATTGTGACCACGCGTGCTTCAGCGTTCAGCTTTGGCAGCCCTCCTGTCATTGCCGGCAGCGACCCTGCTTCGGGCGTGAATGGCACTGAGGTTCTGATTTACGGAAGCCACCTCAAGGCTCACGGCACGGCACCACAAGAGGCGCAGTCAGTATCTCTGGCTGGCATTGCGGCCACCATCGTGAGTGCCAACGATGTGTTTCTGCGTGTGGTGGCTGGTGATGGCGCGGCTGGCACAACCGGTCCAATCATCGTTGAAACGCTTTCAGGCGCCGTCATTAATTCGAGCACTACAGGCATTACATTTACCTACGTTAGTGAGGCCAATGTAACGGCCGTACAGCCTGCCCAGGGCGCGTATCGTACTTTGGTGACGCTACAGGGCGAGAGCTTGCTCCAGGGTGCTGCGCGTGTTACACGCGTGAGCATGGCTGGAGCATTGGCCACGGTCATGAGCTTCAATGATACGCAAATTGTGGTGCAAGCCGGCGTGCCTGCCAACGAGGATGAGATTACGGGTGATATTGTTGTCGAGTATGACACGGGTGCACGCCTTGTGGTCGATGATGGTTTTACCTACGTAAGCTCGCCCACCATTACGGATGTTGTGCCAGCGCGTGGTGTAGAGAACACTCGAGTGACGATTAGTGGCGTGTCGTTGGGTGCTGGTGGTGAGGTGATCGGTGTAACGCTCGCTGGCGTGGCGACAACGATTGAGAGTGCCGGCAATAGCACGTACTTGATCGTTCGTGCGGGAGCATCACCGGCTGCCGGTGGCCGCCTGGGCGCTGTGGTGATTACATCAAGCAATGGGGCACGTGTGGAACGAGCAGGTGGCTTCCGCTACGTGGCTACGCCTGTTGTTACGTCGGTGAGCCCGGCAGCCGGTATTCTTGGTACGCGCGTGACCATTCAAGGCACCAACCTCCTTGCTGGTGCCTCTACGTTGGAGGGCGTTAGCTTGGGTGGTGTGGACGTGCTTACCATTGTCAGCGTAAGCGATACGCAAGTGATTGTCGAAGCTGGCCATGGTCTTGCGGCCAGTGACGTGGATGTTGTGCTTACGAGTGTGGATGGTGGCAGCGTGACTGGCGCGGGTGCCTGGACTTACCTCACTCCCGGGGAAATTCAGGAGGTGCTACCGTCATATGGTGGCCGTGGCACTCGAGTTACGCTCACAGGCGTCAGCTTGCTGGGGGGCACCAACACCACACTGACGGCAGCCAAACTAGGCTCCGTGCCCATCGAAATTGTCTTCCAGAATGATACGCAGGTTGTGCTTCGCCTTGAAGCCACCTCGGGCCAGCTGCCAGTGACGGGTAGCGTGTACGATGTGATCTTGGAAGCCAGCAGCGGTGCGCGCATCGTCAAGGAGGATGCCTTGTCGCTCAATGCCACGGGCGTCCTTCAAAGCGTTACACCGACCAGCGGTACGACGGGAACGCGAGTGACGCTGACGGGCACGGCACTTGTTGCTTCCGGCAGTGATCTCAGCTCAGTGACAATTGCTGGTGTCGCAACGACGGTGGAGTCGGCAAGCAGCACTGAGATAGTAATTCGACTACCTGCCGGTGTTGCGCCGACCTTTGGTGCTGCTATTGAGATCCTCTCGGCGTCGGGCAGCTACATTCGCAATGCCAGCGTCTTTAATCGGTTAGAGGACGGCGTGATTCGTAGCATCTTACCCTCGTACGGCGCGTCTGGCTCTGTTGTCACTCTTTCAGGGTTCCGCCTGTTTGGTGGGGCGACCGGCGTTTCTTATGTGACATTGGCAGGTGTCAATGCCACCGTTCTTAGTTCAAGCAATGACGTGATCGTTGTTCGTGCAGAGCAAGGTCTCAGTGCTGGTTCGCCACCTTCGCCGGTTACTATTTTCGCATCGAGCGGAGCCATTATTCACAATGCTTCAGATATTGCCTTTGAATATGTTGAGACCGCCGTGATTGCTAGTGTCACTCCTGCCAGCGCACGACCCGGTGCCATCGTGACAATTCATGGTAGCGCACTGTTGCGCGCTGGCACAGCGGCAAGTTTTGTGGAGGTCGGTGGCATCAATGCGAGTGAAATATTCAGTGCACAAAGCAACGACACTCGGGTTGTCGTGCGAATTGGTGACTTTGCCGGACCAGTTCCAACAGAGACCTCTGTTACGATTGCACTTGATTCTGGTGCATCGGTGACGAGCCCTGCTGATGTGTTCGAGTATTTGGCCGCTGGAAACGTTACCAGTGTGCAACCACCATCGGGCCTCTCTGGTACTGTTGTTACGGTGACTGGATTTGGCTTTTTCAGCGGTGGAACGGCCGTCTCCTCAATCGTATTGGGTGGTGTTGAAGTTGAAAGCTCATTTGCCAATGACACGATGCTCGTCTTCGTTGCTGGCGATGGTGTTACTGGCAACAGCAGCATCATTGTGACCAGTGATACCGGGGCAACTTTTGAGGCTGACAATGTGTATGAGTTTGTGGCTGACAGCGAGATTGAGCTCATCGAGCCTGCGCGTGGTTCGTGGGGTGTTCGCGTAACGATCTCTGGTCGCAATTTCCATATCGGTGGCGCCAATGTTGATCAAGTTCTTCTTGGAGGTGTTGTTGCTTCTATCATCTCCCAAAGCACCACTCGGGTAATGGTCCGAGCTGGGCAAGCAGTGTCGACTGGTCTGGGCGACGTAGTGTTGGAGCTTGAAAATGGTGCTCGGCTGCGAAAGTCGCGTGCTTGGCTTGAGGAGCAACCAAGTGAAATCATTGCAATCTCACCATCGAACGGTACACAAGGCACTCGCCTGACGATTGCTGGTCAGCATCTTCTCGGCGAGACTGTTGCGGCCAACAACGACATTCAAACTGTCTTCCTTGGCGACATCGAAGTTGAACCAAGTTTTGTCAATTCGACCATGGTGGTTCTTCGTGTTCCCGCTCGGGCTGCAGGCATTGTTAATGTGACGCTGGAAACGACGCTGGGTGGGCTTAGCTTTGCATCTGAGGGGTTCACTTTCTTGGATTTGCCGAGCATTTCTGCGTTTACACCTGTAAACGGCCAGGCCCAAACGCGGGTGACTGTATCTGGTGTGAACCTGCTAGGCGGCGGTGTCACGCTAGCCTCAGCCACCTTGGCCGGTGTTGCCGCCACCCCCGTAGCGGGCTACAATGAATCTTCTATTATCCTGATTGTCCCTGACGCTCTTGGCTCAGGTCCGGTGCGAATCGAGGCCGACACTGGTGCATTCGTGCAATCTACGTCCAACTTTACATTCCTGGACCGTGGTAGCATAACCAATGTGCAGCCAGAGCGTGGCGTTGCCGGAACAACAGTCACCATCATTGGCACAGGCTTGCTGGGCGGTGGCACCAGTTTCGATATGATCAAACTGGCCAATGTTAGTGTCGCCACTATTCACGCCGGGAGCAACGACACGTACCTTGTTGTCGAGGCCGGCGATGCGTTTGGCGGCTTCGCTGGCTCGGTGCAAATTTATGCTGATACAGGTGCTTTGGTTGAAGGCCAAACCTTTGAATATATCGAGGAAGGTGCAATCGCTTCAATTATTCCTGCAAGCGGTCGCTGGAACACCCTCATAACCATCTTGGGAGAAGGCCTGCTGTCAGGCAGTGATCTTGCTCAGCTAACGCTGGCTGGTGTTGACGCGACACCAATTACATGGAATAATACTCAGATTGTGGCGCGTGCAGGCGTCGGTCCGGCTTCTGAGCTGACCGGCCAAGTGCGAATTGTAGCCACCACAGGTGCTACCGTGGTTGGCAACTCAAGCGTTGCCTTCACCTATGTTTCCGAAGGGCGAATTGATGCCGTCTCTCCGAACAGTGGGCGCGCAGGCGTCGAAGTCGCTTTTGCCGGCGTCAATCTGTGCGGTGGTGGAAACCGCATCGTGCAAGTTTTTCTTGCTGACTTTGAAGCCAACGTTTCGAGTGACTCGTGCAGCTTGCCAAAAGCAATTGTTGGCAACTTGAACACGCCGGGGGTCGGCAGCGTCCTTTTAGTGGCCGACACTGGTGCAAAGCTGGAGAAAGCCGCTGCCTGGACCCAACTGGGGGATGGTACTATTTCAGGCATAACTCCCAGCAAAGCCCAGAGCGGCGAAAGTGTGACCATTAGGGGCGATGCCATGTACACTGGCAGCATTAACGATGTCCGTGTTCGCCTGAGCGGCATCGATGCCGTCGTGCAGACATCACTGTCCAATTCCAGCTACATTATTGCAACAGTTCCAAACGGTCCCTCGAGCTTGGAAACTGCAACCGGTGATGTCATTGTGCAAACTAGCAGCCTGTTGGTGACGCGCTTGGTAAACGGCTTTACTTATTCGATCATGCGTAACTTTCAGCCCTCCTCTGGTATGGAGGGCACTCGGGTGACTGTCACTGGCGTTGCACTCACCGGAAACGATGGAACGTTGGTTGGCGCGACGGTCAATGGCATCGCCGCTTTGATTGAACATCAAAACGATACTTTGGTGGTTCTTAAATTAGGTGCTCAAGCAACAGTCACGGATTTGAGTAGCACGGTGGTGTTTACAACAGCAACACAGACCGTGAGCAGTAGCAACGTTCCGGCATCGCTTCGAAAGAGCTTCACGTACAAGCCTCCCGGTGTAGTTGCTTCAGTCAATCCAGCAATTGGTCTTCCTGGCACTCGCATCACATTGGTGGGCACCAATATGTTTGGATATGGCTCTGCTTTGACTTCGGTGACCTTGGATGGTGCACCGGCTGTGGTCGTGGGATCCAGCAACACTAGTCATATTATTGTTGACGTTCCTGCAGGCGGCACCGGCGAATCTGACCTCATCATTACCTCGGATACCGGCGCAACGGTCAAGCGTGAGAGAGCCTTTGAGTATCTTGCACCTGCCAACATTGACAGCGTTGTGCCCAGCAGCATCCACGCGGGCACACGCGTCACCATTAGTGGTACTTCGCTCCTGGCGGGTGCTTCATCGCTCAGCAGCGTGACGCTTGCCGGTGTTGCTGTGGAATCTATTGTAAGTGCCACGGAGAGCTCAGTCGTGGCGGTTGCTGCAGCATCGCCCGCGGCGGTTGTGGGAGGCAATGCTGTGCTTGTTTCAAACAACGGGGCACAGGTGTCACTGGCCGGCGTTGTGGACTATGTCGCCCCCGGGGTCGTGACAAGCATTGAACCAGCGCGTGTCACGGCTGGAACACTAGTCACTATCGTCGGTACCACGCTGCTGGGTGGCTCTGCGGCTAACCCTCTGCCTACGGTAGAACTGGGTGGTCATGTCGCGGCTGTGCAGTCAGCCAACGAGACAATGATTGTGGTGATTGCACCGACAGCGCCAGACGGCAGCAGTAACATCAGCATCATCGCTGCCAGTGGCGCTGAGGTAACCCATGGTGATGCCTTTTATGTGTATGTGTCTGCCCCGGTCGTGAGCCGGGTCGAGCCTGTGCAGGGCCAAGTGGGAACCATCATCACAATCGTTGGTGAGCAGCTCTTCGGCGGCGCTGATGAAAAGCCGACAGCTGTGGTGATTGGCGGCACACCTGTGGCATCTATTGATAGCAACAGCAACAACACGCACGTTATTGTCACCTTGGCCGAGCCTGCAGTGATTGGACCAGCCAACATAAGCTTAACCAGCGCTAATGGCGCACCCATCGTTGAGAGTGACACGTCACTCTTCACATATTTGGTGGCAGGTGAGATTACGAATGTGCAACCCGCCACGGGTACGCGCGGTACGCGTGTAGTTCTCGAGGGTACGAACTTGGACCTTGGCTCGACGGTGACGCGCGTGCTCCTGGGTGGTTCGGTCATCACGGACTTTGATGTGGCCGCGGGTGCTGGGCAAATTGTGCTTACGGCACCTGCCGGCACTGCCGGAGGTCCGGTCAGTGTGATTATTGAGACAGAACATGGGGCCACGGCAACTCTTGCATCCTCGTGGACGTTCGTGCCCGCTGGCGTTATCAGCAGCATTGCCCCTGCCTCGGGTCAAGGCGGTGCCCTGGTGACAATCACCGGTACCTCTCTCCTGGGGGGCGCGAGCAATGTGAGCCACGTTCTGGTAGATGGTATCAATGTAACACGCATTGAATCACTCAGTAACACGGAAATTGTGGTTGAGGTTGCTGTCCAACCAGCCGGAGATGTGACAGGTGTTGAAAGATCCGTACGCGTTGTTGCCGATTCTGGTGCTTTTGTGGAGTCACTGGGCTTTACATATACACCGGCGCCCATTGTGACCTCTGTCGAACCGCTGCAAGGTCAGAAGGGCACGCGCGTGACCATTTCTGGAAGCAACTTACGTCAGGGTGCCAGTGCTGTATCAGCTGTGCTGCTGGCCGGGCGCTCGGCAACTGTCATCAGTGAAGACGACAGTGAGGTGGTGGTTGAAGCACCTGATGGCACGGCGCTCGGACCATTGCCGGTTGCCGTGCAGGCCTCTTCGGGGGCTAGCGTTTTGAGTGACATTGCAACCGCAAATTTCACCTTCTTGGAGCGTGGGGTCGTGAGCAACGTAGAGCCCAGCTCGGGTGGCCGCGGGTCGCGCGTGACCTTGAGTGGCACCAATCTTTTTGGTGGCGCTGCAGCCCAGCCGACCAGTGTGACCATTGGGGGCGTTGCGACCTCGATTGTGAGTGCAAACGATACAGTTGTAGTCGTCGTTGTAGGCATTGTGCCGGCAGCCGATGGCGCTGCGGCTCTTGAAGTCGTGGGCAGCGCCGGTGCTGACATTGACGAGACGGTCACGTTTGAGTTCTTGACACCCGGGGTGCTAAATAGCGTGGCGCCTGCCATCGGTGTTTTTGGTACGCGCGTTACCTTGCAAGGCACTGACCTTCTGGGTGATGGCAATAGCGTGCTTGATGTGCTCTTGAATGGCGTCTCGGCGTGGGAAGTTGAATCCTCTTCCCAAACTGAGATTGTTGTGCGAGCGCCTTACAGTGCCACAGGCTCAGCTGCTCCGGGCGAGGTCCGCATTATTAGCGATACGGGTATTGTGACCACGCGTGCTTCAGCGTTCAGCTTTGGCAGCCCTCCTGTCATTGCCGGCAGCGACCCTGCTTCGGGCGTGAATGGCACTGAGGTTCTGATTTACGGAAGCCACCTCAAGGCTCACGGCACGGCACCACAAGAGGCGCAGTCAGTATCTCTGGCTGGCATTGCGGCCACCATCGTGAGTGCCAACGATGTGTTTCTGCGTGTGGTGGCTGGTGATGGCGCGGCTGGCACAACCGGTCCAATCATCGTTGAAACGCTTTCAGGCGCCGTCATTAATTCGAGCACTACAGGCATTACATTTACCTACGTTAGTGAGGCCAATGTAACGGCCGTACAGCCTGCCCAGGGCGCGTATCGTACTTTGGTGACGCTACAGGGCGAGAGCTTGCTCCAGGGTGCTGCGCGTGTTACACGCGTGAGCATGGCTGGAGCATTGGCCACGGTCATGAGCTTCAATGATACGCAAATTGTGGTGCAAGCCGGCGTGCCTGCCAACGAGGATGAGATTACGGGTGATATTGTTGTCGAGTATGACACGGGTGCACGCCTTGTGGTCGATGATGGTTTTACCTACGTAAGCTCGCCCACCATTACGGATGTTGTGCCAGCGCGTGGTGTAGAGAACACTCGAGTGACGATTAGTGGCGTGTCGTTGGGTGCTGGTGGTGAGGTGATCGGTGTAACGCTCGCTGGCGTGGCGACAACGATTGAGAGTGCCGGCAATAGCACGTACTTGATCGTTCGTGCGGGAGCATCACCGGCTGCCGGTGGCCGCCTGGGCGCTGTGGTGATTACATCAAGCAATGGGGCACGTGTGGAACGAGCAGGTGGCTTCCGCTACGTGGCTACGCCTGTTGTTACGTCGGTGAGCCCGGCAGCCGGTATTCTTGGTACGCGCGTGACCATTCAAGGCACCAACCTCCTTGCTGGTGCCTCTACGTTGGAGGGCGTTAGCTTGGGTGGTGTGGACGTGCTTACCATTGTCAGCGTAAGCGATACGCAAGTGATTGTCGAAGCTGGCCATGGTCTTGCGGCCAGTGACGTGGATGTTGTGCTTACGAGTGTGGATGGTGGCAGCGTGACTGGCGCGGGTGCCTGGACTTACCTCACTCCCGGGGAAATTCAGGAGGTGCTACCGTCATATGGTGGCCGTGGCACTCGAGTTACGCTCACAGGCGTCAGCTTGCTGGGGGGCACCAACACCACACTGACGGCAGCCAAACTAGGCTCCGTGCCCATCGAAATTGTCTTCCAGAATGATACGCAGGTTGTGCTTCGCCTTGAAGCCACCTCGGGCCAGCTGCCAGTGACGGGTAGCGTGTACGATGTGATCTTGGAAGCCAGCAGCGGTGCGCGCATCGTCAAGGAGGATGCCTTGTCGCTCAATGCCACGGGCGTCCTTCAAAGCGTTACACCGACCAGCGGTACGACGGGAACGCGAGTGACGCTGACGGGCACGGCACTTGTTGCTTCCGGCAGTGATCTCAGCTCAGTGACAATTGCTGGTGTCGCAACGACGGTGGAGTCGGCAAGCAGCACTGAGATAGTAATTCGACTACCTGCCGGTGTTGCGCCGACCTTTGGCGCTGCTATTGAGATCCTCTCGGCGTCGGGCAGCTACATTCGCAATGCCAGCGTCTTTGATTGGCTGAGCGAAGGTGTCGTGACCGATGTTGCTCCTGCGCGAGGTTTTGCTGAAACTTTGATTACTTTATCTGGACGCTCTCTTCTTCTCGGCGGCGCAAGTAGTGCGCTCAGCGCTACTTTCAATGGTGACTCTCTCGAGGTTGTGGCGGCTTTTGATCAAGCTGTGGTTGTTCGTTTTCCGCAGACATCTGCAACTGAAATTAACAGCTCCGTCGTGCTGAGCAGGGTAGATGGCGCATATGCATCATCCTCAGTGATTACTCTGCTTGCTTCTCCAACTATCATTTCGGTTGCACCTCAAAATGCCACTGCGGGGGCATTGGTGACTCTTGAAGGCAGCAATCTGCTTGGAGGGGCAACAGGAATTTTCTCAGTACTTTTGGGTTCCACATCCGCGACATTGACCTCGGCTTCCGAAGAGCGCATTGTCTTTTCAGTTCCATCTGGGCTGACACCCGAAGCGTACAATGTCACAGTGCGAAACACAAACAACGGCGTTTTTGTCAGCCCGATTGCCTTGAGGGTTGGTCACATAAGCACGATTGAATCCATCGTTCCCTTTTCTGCACACCCAAGTGTAATTGTAACGATTTTGGGCAATAACCTAGACCCAGCAACTCTGGCATTTGTGCAGCTCGGCGGGGTGAACGCGACCATTCTGAATGCCAATTCTACTGCGATTGTTGTTCGCGTCCCCGTGCGTGCCGCTGGCTTAGCGGCAGTCTCTTTGCATCGGAGTTCAGGCGCCGTCAACTCTGAAGCGAATCTATTTCGATTCCTTGCTAGTGCTTCAATTGCCGCTGTCACTCCGCCCAGAGGCTCTCTCGGTAGGTCATGTCGACGTTCCCCCTCTTGTGTGGTATTCTGTTCTGCTTGCACGTCGTTTATGCCCCCGTGCTCGTGATCTCACCACCTATTCAAATCTTTTTTTTTTTTTCCATCTCGTCTTCCTTGCTAGGCACTCGTGTGACGATTGATGGTCAAAACTTGCTCTTGGGCGGTGCTGTATCCGCTGTGCAGCTGGGCGCTGTTCCTGTCCGTGACCTCATATCAACTTCCAATTCCCGCGTGGTTGTGTCATCAAACAACACGATGGCCGGCGCCAACCTTCTGCTTCGAATTGAGTCTACATCTGGCGGCTTCGTTGAGCTTTCTGCGGCTTGGAATGCCACCGCAGCTGGTCAAATCTCATCTCTTTCACAGGATGTCGGTGTCGGTGGAACGCGATTGATGGTCGTTGGTCAAGATCTTGTGGCTGAGGGGTTGTTGCCCGTGGCCGTTTCCATCGGTGATCTTGCATGCACCATCATTGACAGTACCGACCGGCACAATATCGTGATTGAGTTACCAGCCGCCACGACTGGTACTTATGAGGGTGTGAGTGTGGTCGCAGATAGCGGTGCCGTGGTCGAGAATGCCACGCTTGCTGTGACCATCTTACCTGAACCACAGATCATCAGCATTGAGCCGATTTCGGCCCAGCTTGGCACTCAAGTGACATTGCATGGTACCCATTTGCTGATGGGTGGAACGAGTGTGGCGTCGCTCAACTTGTCCACTGCTGGCGCAGACCTCATTTTCATCAATGACACAATGCTCGTGCTGACAGTAAAAGAGGATGTTGATGCGGTAACAGTACAGTCCATCAGTTATACAGTGGATACTTTCGCTTCGCACACCTCTACGACAACTTTCACGCAACAGATCGCCGGTGCTGTTAACACGGTGTTCCCAACATCTGGTACCGAGGGCACGCGCGTCACACTCAGCGGCGAGGCCTTGGACGGCTATGGCAATGAGGTGGCCCTTGCGCTGCATGGCAGCTCCCCTGTGACCATTTTGTCACAAAATGCATCGGTATTGGTAGTCGAGATGCCGGCGTCTTTTGCTTCTGATGAAAATTTCACTCTTGTCGCGGACACTGGCGCTGTTGTGCGCTCGAGTGTACCGTTTGCCCGCCTGGATGCTGCGACTGTAGCTGCAATCTCGCCCGCAGAAGGACAGCTTGGAACATTTGTCAACATTTCGGGTGCCAATCTTCTTCAAGGCGGCGTGGCAGTGGCGACTATCGAGCTTGCCACCGCGACCATGGAAGTCCTCAGCGCTACGGAAGATTTGCTGCAGCTGCGCGTGGCCCAAGCAAAAGCGGCCGGTCAAGCTGGCGGCCTGGTGTACCAGATGGATACAGGCGCTCGCATTGCCCTTGCCAGCCCGACGTTTACATTTGTCAGCGCAAACTCCATCGCCATTGTCACGCCCGACCAAGGCGCGGCGTCAACCGTGGTGACCATCGTGGGCTCGTTGTGCACTGGTTCGGCCAGCGTGAGTGGAGTATATTTTGGCACCTTTGCCGCCCCAATAAGCTCAAGCGCATGCAATCGCGTCGTGGTGACTGCCCCAGCCACTGGATTGAACTCATCTGTAGACGTCATGGTTGAGTCCTCCAGTGGCGCTCGGGTGTCGGCCGTGGCTGGATTTACCTACTTGAGCGACGGTGCCATCAACTCAGGTCAGAAACACGCCTTTTATTCACCGACCAAGCTCGTGCTCTTGTTCTGATTTCGCTTAATGCTTTTGTGGTGGCCGTTGTACTACCTCGGCTATTCTGCCAAATCTAACACCTTTCGAACAATGCGCTTGGTTTTGTTGTTGCTGTGTGCGTGTGTAAAATAGTCGAACCGAATGCAGGACAAGCTGGGAGCCGAGTCACCATTCAAGGTGAACGTCTTCTTTCCGGCAGCACCACTCGACCAGACGTGCTTTTTGGAACTGCTCGGGTAGCCGCAGACGCCTACAATGACACCTTCATTGTGGCTACAGTTCCAGCGGGAGCGGGCAGAACCGACGTTGCCGTCGAAAGCGAGTCTGGGGTGGCTATTCGTCTACTGGATGCCTGGACCTACTCGACCATCGCCAGCGTAAACCCCAACAGTGGTCAAGGTTCCACCTTGGTGACGCTGTTGGGCGTGGCATTGCAAGCGGGGGGTTCATCTGTGGTGGGTGTGACCTTTGGCACAACAGCAGGCAATGTCGAGTTTGACAACGAGACCATTGTCGTGGCTCGCGTTGGTGAGGACGCCGTGTTGAGCGACACCCCAGTAGATATTACCCTGACCATGAACAACGGTCAAGCAGTTGTGTTGAATAACGGATTTACGTACCGCCCTGCCGGAGCCATCACTTCTTTGACACCTGCCTCGGGACAGCGTGGAACGATTGTGTCAATTCAAGGCAACTCCCTACGTGGCTATGGGGGTGCAGTTGAAGGGGTACAGCTCAATGGCATCGAGGCAACCATCCTCTCTGAGAGCGATAATCTGGTGGTGGTTGCTGCAGGTCACAGCGCTGTTGCTGGGGCTGGGGTCGTGCGCTTAACGGCCGACTCGGGCGCTGTGGTAACGTCTACCGGTGGGACGACGTTTGCGTACGTTGAGCCAGCACAGCTCACGGCCGTGACTCCAAACACAGGTGCCAAGGATACCCGTGTTACCATTACTGGCTCATCGTTGCGTCAAGCGGCTAGCACCATCTCCTCCGTGGAACTGGCTGGCGTGCTGGCCTCAATCGTATATCAAAATGACACTGCCATTGTGGTGCGGGCCGCTGAGGGTGTGGCGACTGGTAGCTCCGAAAATATTACGATTACAGCTGATTCCGGTGCTTTTGTGACCTTCATCAATACTTGGCACTATGTACCGTACGTCTGCGCCCAGTCGTGAAACTGATTGTTTTTCGTGTGCCTGCATGTCTGAGTATGTGGGTTTGAAAAGTGGCTGAATTTGATCGTGACTTTCTGAACGGCTCTTTAGCTCGTTCGTGTACCACAGTTGGTCGCTTCTCCTCGTTGATCCCACCACCTCATGCATCTATTTTCGCGCTGTATGCAACTCCTTTTTTGTTTTTGTTTTTCTTGCAGGAGTGGCGAGATTGATACCATTACCCCTGCTTCAGGACAGGCGGGCACCTTCATTACGATCCAGGGCAGTGATTTGCGAGCAAACTCATCAGCCGTGACCTTGGCTTCCATCGGCGGGTCGCCGGTGCAAATTGTTTTTGAGAATGAGACTCTGGTCATTTTGCGTGCCAGTGCGTCCATCCCTGTGGGAAGTCAAGATGTCCTCTTGGAGGGTGCCAGCGGCGCTACCATTGAAGCCAGTGCCTCTTGGACTCAAGCTGCTCCTGGCGTCATCACGAGTGCGTCTTTTTGTCTTTTTATTGTCTCCCGTGTTGAAACAATTGCTCTTTGTCGAACGCGCCTCTTTCCTCACGCCGCTCGTTCTTGATTTTCTTTGCCAATCTAGACATCTCGCCAAACCAGGGTCAAATCGGCTCGCTGGTCACCTTGACGGGAACGCAACTCTTGGGCGGGGGCAGCAGTGTGGCTGCGTTACTCTTTGGTGCCACACCTGTGCTCTCTGTTTCAGGAACTGATACGGAACTCGTAGTGGAGTTGGATGACGCTCCTGCTGGCGCGGTCAACGTAACCGTTCGTGCTGATACAGGTGCTGAGGTGGTGGCTGCTTCAGGGGCATTCACATATCTGCCGCGCTCCAGTATCGCGGCACTTGAGCCCAGTAGCGGCCAGCTAGGAACGATTGTGACGCTGACAGGCTCAAATTTGCTGGGTGGCGGCAGCAACGTAGTGGTGCGCTTTGGCAGCATCAATACGACGGTGTTGCAGGCCAACGATACCGTCATTGCAGTGGCTACCGGGGCCAAGCCGGATACTCTCTCGAGCCTTGACTTGGTCGACGTCACCGTGGTGGCGGATACGGGTGCTCGAGCCGTTTTGGTGGATGGCTGGCAAGTCGCTCCACCATCAGCCATTAGCGCTCTTTCCGTGGCTCGTGGAACACGCGGCACGCGCGTCAACATTACAGGCACCCGCTTGTTGGCTGATGGTACTGCGATTGTTCGAGTCACGTTGGCTGGTGCGGAAGCCACCATCTTGCAGGGTAACAGTCAAGACTTTGTGTACGTGGCTGCTGGAGATGCAAATGCTGGCGTGGGTGATGTGGTTGTGGAGTCAAACAATGGCGCTACGACGGTTCTAGCTGGAGCTTGGAGCTACCTCGAGCGAGGTGACATCACTGCAGTGCTGCCAGCTACGGGCGTGTATGGCACGGTGGTGACTGTGCGCGGTGATCGGCTCTTGGGTGGCGGCTCTCGCGTGGTTGCTGTATCCCTCAAAAACATTGAGGCTGCACAAATCCTAGTGGATGACTCGGACAGTGAGATCATTGTGGTTGCAAATCACGGCGATCCAGGCGTGGGCAATGTCACTCTTTACGCCGACACCGGTGCCATCGTCACCACGAGTTGCTAAACCTTGCACTCTTCATTTTCTGTTTTGTATTTGTTTTGGCTTTTGTTTTGTGTTTTTGACTTGAGCATAAGATGCAGGTACCATGCCTGCGCTGGCTCATCCCCGTGACGTTTACAGTTGACTTTTGTACAATGTGGCAGAGTGTTCCATGGTTGGGCATACTTCTCATGATAGCTTTTGAGTTTTAGCTCATCGTGTGTTGTGAAGGTTTTTGACCGAGGGTGTGCTTGACGTGTCTGACGCGCAAAATGCACACAAAATTGATGGTGGTACATGAACGTGGTTCCAAAATTCAGGCTGGTTAAAACTTATTATAGATTGTCGGGCTTTCATGTATGTACATGTATGTCTTTGTTCAGCGCTAAAATCTGCTCTGTCACCTCCTGGCCAACCCAAGATGGCACTCTCTTCTCACTCATAAAACTCAAACAAAAAGGGGGAAAAAATACCTCACGTCATACACTCATTTATGCGGCTCGAGTCTTCTTGCCTCCGCAAGCAAGCGAATAGGCAAACATCGCATGCCACCAGATTCAGACCAACGGTCTACTTGCGCGACTGTTTGCTTGGCCCATACATGGATGTCATGTTATTCATCGGCGGCAATGATAGCGCCAGTGGTGGGAACGAGACTGCATCCTCATTGGAGCCATATTGCTGCCGCATCCACCGTCTGGCGTCGGAAACAACGTTGCGCGTTTGCTCTAGCAAAGCCACAATGTAGAGTCGAGCAAAGGGGCTTCTACACGCCACGAAAGTGAACGTTCACACCGTGCTGGAGATGAGAAACGAGTGGTGTGATCAATGAGCATAACTAGAAGCAGCCTGTCTGATGAACGTACGAGCGATGATCCGTCTGGATTGTGGTCCGCGAGTAAGGCGGGCAGCCTGGCACGTGAATGTCGGCGGCAAGTTGGAAAAAATGCAGCAGCCGTAGGCACTGTTGTTGGCTTGCTTGCAATACCTCGGGCGCAACATCACTGTCCATCATGTTGGCAATTGGAACCTCAGGATTTGGGCGAGTCCGCTCTAGAATGCCGTCTGCAGTGTTGACATTGCAACGCCAGGCAAGCTGTCAGTAAAGATTCGTGCTGCTCCAATGGCCAATATGCAACAAACTACTAAAGTCTGTGTGTGAGCCAAGCGAAAGACATCTGACTCACCAAGCGCGTTGAGCACGCTGGTAATAACTCGAACATGGCGCAAACGAAACAGGCGGTAGCACAGCAGTGTGATTGTCAAGTGGCGAACGCCGGACTCCCAATGGCCGAGAAGACGCCAAAACATGCGATCTTCCGTCAGCAGGCCTACAACCAACCGGTGCACAGCCCATTTCCACCAATTAACGGGGATGGGATGTAACAGGATCAATGGGGAACAACGCCGGTTGTCAAAAGCGCGCCGCGACAAGCGGTTGCTTTGCTTGACCACGACACACGCACGAGCACGCGGCAGGAGGCGCGTTTGCAAACATACCCGTGAGGGCCGTGCGCTGCTGGTCGGAGAAAAAATCAAGGTTTTCGTACAGCCACCGCAGTGTAAACATTGTGATCTGTTTGGATGAGATTCAGATCAGCCCATCACGAAGCAGCCAAAACAGCGGAAAACGCAAGCATCGCAGCAGAATGAGAGGGAAAATGTTGGCCAATGATGATGGAAGAGAAATTGTCACAAGAAGCCATCTCAAACCAACCACATAATGCGGACAGTCCAACAAACGCGTGACAAAGTCCACAGCAAGATCAGTGTCAAAGTCAGCTGGCAAGCGCGCGTTGTGAACTTTTTCATACGACTCAAAGAGAGCTTTAAAGGAGCCAAGCAAGCCTAAAGCACACGTGTGTATGAGCATGCCACACCATCTGTGTTAAAAACTCGCGTTGCAAGCAGTGGGGCTCGCGCAAGGCCATGGCTTACAAATGACGTCGGGCACGTGAAACAAGCTCGTTTGTTGCATCAAATCTTCAAGCAAACAGCTCAGGAAAATGCCACTGCTACTTAATGCGAGAGCTGCGGCCGCTGTCCGCTCCGTCCAATTGACGATAAGGCTGGACAAGATCAGGTCACATAAGTTCATTCGTGGCGAGTAGAGAAGGTGTGAACCCCGGGTGCGTTGAACATTCAAACCTTGGCGGGCCATGGCCGATGGGAAAGCTCTTCTTGACTGCCAATTGGGTGGTGAGAGCCAATCGTAGAAAGCATGTTGCCAGTTCGGCAAAGCCCGGCATAAGTGCCACGGCTGACGTAGTTTGCATGTTGACGCCCATCAATGAATCCGCCTGGGTGCATCCCAAGGACCATACAAGTGGACCACAAATGATTGGCAATGGGTTGTAGAAGGAGCAGGACAAAGAAGAAGAGTGAGACAAAGAGGGTCAGTGAACATGACACGATTGATGTCAACAAGCAGAACCGGCAGCGAGTCAGCATTTTAGGCCGGGGTTGCTTCGACGACAGCGGACCTTCGTGGCATAGTAGGAAAACGTGTAAAGCGAACGAGCCCGGCGCACAAGCACTTCTAAGAACACGGAGAGGAAGCCAAAGCCTGCGTCGGTGCGCGTCACAAAGCTGCAATTCAATAGTCAAATTGTTGCGAGTGGATGAGTTGGAGTGATCAAGCCTGATAGAAAAGAACCCACAAAGCAGACATGCCACGGAGGCCCTGAACGTACCGCGCGGTCCAACGACCCGGCACTGCGACATGTTTGTCCCACAAGTTGGGATGCCGCAGTTTGGGACTCGTCTGCTCGGGTACGAGCAAGAACGCCAACATGCAATCTCGAATGAGCTTTGGGGCCAAGCCATGCCGTATGCCCCACTCAAGTTGCAACGTCTCAAACTCGTTCATCTTTCCCAACCACATCACGTACTGTTGTTTGGAAGCCTTCTAGGGTTTGTAGAAAGTCGTCTGACGTGAACAGCTTTGCAAATTGATGATGAAACTTTGTCTAACGAGAAGACATGCGGGGCAATCGCCGGCAGCATGCGCATGCCAGGGACAGTCAAACAGGGATCAGCCAATGGTGCCTGCGACACTCGTGACAAAAAGATGCGGGCATGTGAAACAAACCCGCGGAATCGTTGCCGGACACTGATCGTTGGCATTGCCGAGGTCCATGCGACTGAGCTGAAAAATGTTGTAAAAGATGAGGCGCTGCTCGGCCGGAAGCACTGCGCAGAGCATACGTTGCTGCTCTTTGCATCGATTGTTCACGCTTTGCCCGATCCTAAAACAGCGGGGGTGGTACCGAGAAGAGAGGGCGCACAGAAGGCAGTGAGGGGGTTTGCGCCAGGGCTCGCAAAAATGCTTGACAAAGGAAAAAAACACAGCGTCGTACTTGAAGGAACGGCGGCCTGCGATCGGTGTGGCGCGGCTGACGGCTCGAACAATAACTTCGCTCAATCCGGGAACCACAAGATAGTTGATGGCCAGAACCTACAGGTAGCACATCAAGGTCGCCAAGCAACCAATTACGAACATGACGTCAATCCTGTTTTTGTTTTTTGCAAACAGCCGTGCAATACACATGCATGACGCTTTCTTTTTTTCGTCTGGTCAACGCACCTTGGCGCAGAAGAGAAGCAACGACTCTTCACTAATCACATTGCTGCATTTAATGAAAGAAAAGTCGAGAATTTGAATGAGTCTGATGTGACACAAAGAAGCGAGACCATGACTGCATGACCCGAGGCCAAAGCTTGCCTGAGGCATGTCACTGCGTATTCGTGCGTTTGCCACGACAAAGAGCAAAACGTCTTGACCCAATCCTGGAAGAGCGATGCGTGAGCGCGTTGAGAGGATGTGCAGCACAAGCGACGAAAATTAGCAAAACATTATCAGGCGTCAGCAGAGTCTGATTGGGCTCGGCGCACCTCGTGCTCGCTAGCTGCTTCAAGTGGATGAATTTGTACTTCGTGGTGCGTCATGCACGCTAGGATGATCTCGTAGCACGTTCCCGCTCTGATGTGTCATGTTACAAGAGAGTACGGGGTCAGGGAGGAGCAGAAAATGAGATAAAACGCTCCTGTTTGAGAGCTGCGGGGAACAGAGCGTGGCTGGCATCCAAGACCTACAGAGTCGCATCGCTGGTGCCAGGATTGGTCAACTGCTTGAGAGATACGCGCCAGGCGTCAAGGATGTTACGCCGCAACACAAGGACCTCATCGCGTGGATTGCGACCTCGGCCGAGTGCCTGGAAACAAGACATAATAGAAAGTAGGCATCAGCAATACGCTCCCATTTTTTGAGGCAGGGCTGAGTGTACAGACACCGTAAAATGGCGGGTAGAGAGGCCCAAAAGTCCTATTTTTCCTACCCGCTGAATGTCAGCAAAGAGTGACTGAGCTTCACCCGCTGAAGGATTTGCGCCAAGCTAGACACCATGAAACATAACGAAGCACAAATTAGAAAGCCTTTCGCAACACCTGTGAGCTCATTCAGACCACGGCAGAATGTCCATGCACGCACCCGAGCCAGACACTTGTTAATGACCTCGGCGGGCGAAAGGCGACCCGACATGCGTAGCACTTTGCTCTGTTCGCGGCAACCATGAGCGATTGAGCAACAACGCCCAAATGCGAATCAAGTGAAATTGCGCTGTCTTGGCGTGAAAGAAGATCAGCCACAGTGGCCCGGGCACCCAAAAAAAAAGTTGGTTATGGAGGGTGGAATGATACCTCCTGTGCGTCAGAACACAAACGAACCTTTGTTTCTTGGTAGACACGGCGAGCACTCTGCGAGCCTGGGAGTTTACCAAGCACCTTTTTGGCCATGTGCGAGATGGAACCACGACGACGCTGTAGCCCACAAGTAAGGCGAAGAACGATTGAGTGCGAATCGAAAGACTGGAATGTAACGACAAGGCAATCCAGGGCCTACCCGTGAATCAGCACTGGTGCTGCTCGAGGAATACGACTATCCAACAAGACGAGCAAGAGGAAAAAAAAAAGAAGAAGAAGAGGAATGAGTGCACTCTGTGTCTTGCACCCTGCGTCTGCTTGTTAACTTGCTCAATCAGTAAATGGCGAGACTTACGCGCGTCGGTCGAGACGGCACTGAGGCTGATCGGGAGCGATTGGAGGCGACTAGGGACATGACACAGAGCAATCAAGGATGGCGCGGCGGCATGATTCAACTGGCAGGCGCTGTTGCTGGCGCACGTACCTTTTTCTCTGGCGCTTGCTGTGCGGTCGCGCCGAAAGAGACCCGCAAACCCGCGTCGCGTGCCTGTGCTGATGTCAGGCATGCGCCGCTGTGGGGATTCCGGATACGGATCGGTGGAAGTTTCTTCAGCCAAGTGCTGCAATGCTGGTTGGATGGGAAGGGATGTGGAGTTTTGCTTGAGTCGGCCACGTGCATTGGGTGGTGCCTCGGCAAAAACAGCACCATCCCCGTCGCCATCATCTTGGCCGTCGTCCTCGTCAGCATCATCTTCTGCAATATCCAGCAGCTCATCCTCGCTGAACTCGGGAGTAAGGCTACCGTCGTTGTCTAAAGCCGATGCACGAGAGCGAGAATGGAGTGTGCTTGCTTTGAGAGATTGTGGATGCATGGGCTCGCGGGGTTGGTTTGGGATGTCGCGAACGCCTGGTGAAGTCTCAAGCTGCTCGTGATCAAGATCTACGCTAATTTCAGTTTCATCATCCTCTTCAACTTCGTCCGCCGCCTGCCGTGGGATATGGTACGTGCGAGTGGGCTCGGTGAGGTATGTGCAACAGCAGCCCCAAAAAAGCGAGCACGGTAAATTGATTGCCTAGGCTAGAACGCACTTGCTGCGGCAGGTCAATATCATGCGTGGCGTGCATCAGCTCATGCTCGCGTCGAGGGACCATGACTCCAGACATTTGTACCTCTGGATCAGCATCGTAGGAACCTAAGCAAACCGAGATGGGATGTTGGTGAGGCGCACGTATGCGTGTGTGCGTGTGTGTGTGTGTGTGTGTGTGTGTGTGTGTGTGTGTGTGTGTGTGTGTGTGTGTGTGTGTGTGTGTGTGTGTGTGTGTGTGTGTGTGTGTGTGTGTGTGTGTGTGTGTGTGTGTGTGTGTGTGTGTGTGTGTGTGTGTGTGTGTGTGTGTGTGTGTGTGATACTAGAGAGGAGGCGGCGACCTCGTTGCATGGGGCCCGAGACGTACCTTCTCCGTTGCTGACATACCACGTGGCGTTGTCAAATATGTGTGCCGTGCTGTCCAACACATCGTTCATGACATAGGCCAACACGTCCAGACTACACATATCAGGTGAAAGAAGTGGCACGAAAGTTGAATGAATAATGTGGGGCCATCGAGCGCAGGTCTTGCTGGCTTCGGATTCATCACCACGCCTTGCGGTGGGCGAGGGTAACACGAGCAGTAAACAGGTCGAAAAGGGCACGGAAGAGGGTTTGTGGAGCCCGGGCATCAACACATACCTTCCCAGCTCGGTGGAGATGGCCCATGCGTCATTATCCCGATGATAGACCACAAAGAGGTGCTTGCCAGATTCCTCCGAAAAGCCATCGGGAATGGGATCAAGATGTCGAAAAACCTAGTGTAGTTGGCGTGTATGGGTGGCGAGGGCGAGAGGCAGCGGGATTGGGTCACGGAGATGTGAAGTCATCGACACTCGCTGTGTTGCCTGCTGGGTTTTTATTCAAAGCTCAAACGCGCTGCATTGGCCCTGCAATCAAGGACGCTATGAGCGTACCGGCCGCTCGTCGTGTAGAGTGTCGGGTAAAAGTGCGTAAGCGCCGTTGATGCAGCTGGCGTGGCCTCTACGCCCGGTGATGTGAAGAAAATTGTCGGCAACAGGGACAGCTGAATGGAGTGGTGGATGGCAGCAGAGGCAATCACCCGGCGTAATTTAGCTAGCGTCAGGTGTACACGGGAGCAAGGAGGTGGGCCATGGAACCCACTCTCAATAGGCATTTCATCGTCTAGGTTGGTGGTACGAGAGATGGAGCGCGAGGCAGGGGGCGAGGCCATGTCAATGATGTTGATCGTGGGCATGACGTCGTCCTATATGACACCATGAAGCAAAAGCGCACGTTGGGTCAACGCGCCGAATCAAAGCTTTGAGGGAAAATCAATCGATCGGCTGGACGGGTGGGCGAAACGACCTGCAGGAGCCGAGAGGCGACGTCTTTTTGAAAGGAGGACGGTGGGGAGGTGGGTGTGGCAAGCTCCGAGGGCTCGTGAGCGAGAGTGTTGTCTGAGCTGGATTGGCGCATGAGCACAAAGTCGCCCTAAGGATGCCATGGTCAAGTGAGACTGTCATTTCGAGGGTGGGTGGATGATAACTTTGCGATTGATTGCCGTTGAGAGAGACGGAAACGGAAGCAAGCAGCTGCGAGGTTCAGGGCAAGGATATCAGGGCAGCCAGCCTACCGTAATGGGCTCGTCTGGGTCACCCATAGTACCCAGTTCCTGAACTAGTCCTTGGTCTGAACAAGGTGATGTGGGACTTTGAGAGGAGCCGGGCCGGGTGGAGCGTGGAGTGGCTGGCAAGCTGTCAGTAGCGGCCTGAGCTGATGAGTCAGGCCGGGATGCCATCATGGTCTGAATGCAAACGTGTGGTTCTGGTTGCTAGCATCCAAGCACCCGGAACGGGCCTTGATCTGGGTCAAAAAAAAAAAAATCGAGTCGGCGTGTGCCCGGTCCAGGCGCTAGGGCGAGTGAGGGCGGGTCAGGGACGATGTACGGAAGGCGGTGGCCTACATGTCCGTTTCCGAGACCAATGCAAAGGAGCGCGCTTTTGCCTGCAAGGGGGGCGGATCGTGGAGCAGCAGCGGCGGGATAAGACAAGAATTTAAATGCAAAGCCGTGTTTAGGGATCAACAAACAACCACATGAGCGTCAACATCTCTCCATCTGGGGTGAAGACGACGCATGGCGCGCGATACAGGTCCGAAATAACCTGCCTTTGGTGTCTGGTGCATGAATTGTTGACAGCTTGAGCCGGGGGGGTTGAGTCCAAGACCCATGGAGCTCAATGCACACTGCCAATGCCGGCGCACGGGCCACACTCTGTCAAGGAGCATGCGAGGGTGAGTCGCAGAGAGTTGAGGCCAAGCCAGCCGAGCTGAGCCAGCCAGAAGAGTTGTTGGTCCAACAGATCCCCTTTTGAATGTCCCACGGGTCCCTGCAAAGGGTGTCCAGCCAAGTCCACAGAGGGTGCGCGCAGCGGGGCCAAGTCGTCAGTGTGTGTTTTGAGGGTTTTTGAGGTCGAGACAACGACAGCAACAACAAGGATCATCACAAAAAATGACAGGACGAATTTGGCGGTCAACGTCACGCACATAAATGGGAGCAGGGACAGTAATAAGTAAGCTTGACTCTTGAACAAAACGACGATAAGTGCCCCGACTGCCGCAATAACTACCCTTCAACACAACCGAAAGGGCACAGTTTGGATGTGCACTTGTGCACAACACCAGTTGCGACCTCTAGGCTTCGCCTGCTACCATGTGTGAGATGTTCTGGGAAGACCAGCCGCTCGACAAGATCCGGAGCTAATTTGTCACCCTTTTGTCAGCCAAAATGACTCATCTACTTTTAGCAAAAGTCATCGTCCATTTTTAGCTTTTGGTTCCGTCTGACATCGGGTACCTCCAGATCGTCCAGATCACCTGATTCTGATCTCGTCGCTACCAAGCGTATTTGATACGTGAATGACCCCGACGAGCGGATGCGATGGGGGGAGGGCGCAAACGGCAGATAATGAGATCGACACGATCTGAATGCTCGTGACAGCGGTGGCGGGAGCCGTCGCAAAGCAGCGCGTCCGTGTAGGCAGGTGTCTTACCAGTGCACAGCGCGATGCGTGATGTGTGAGCCGCTCGAAACAGCTCCAGACAAGAAGAGGCCATCACACCGCACAGTTTCATATGCAACCCCCCCCTTCTCTCTCTCTCTCTCTCTCTCTCTCTCTCTCTCTCTCTCTCTCTTTCTCTTTTGTTCTTAAAATCTCCATGCAAAAGTAGCTGTTGTCTCATAATGTAACAACACAACATACACACACACACATGGTGTCAGAGCTCTCTCACCTTTCTCCTCATGTGCTGCTGTGAAGAGGAAGAAGGGGGGAGGTGTTTTCCAGCTCGTGTGCGGTACGTGAACACCCCCCCATCGTGATCCGCTCAACACCCGCCAGAGCTTTGGCTAGCAGGCATAAGTAAACACGGGATCCAAGTTCTGGTCGCTCCTCCTCCTCCCCCTTCACCCCCTCCCGACATGGCACGGGCCATGGAGATTCCACATCTCGCTGCCTACAATGCTGCCGGCGCCACAAACCGACCGTTGACCCACCCATCCCAACCACGCACGCACACACGCAAGCCTGAACCAGACAGGAGCTCAACACACACACACACACACATCCGCGCGCGCATAAACTCCTCCTCTTTCTTGTTTGTGGCACGGGCCGTTAGACAAACAAGTCAAATGGCTCAATTGGCGCCTTGTTGGGTTGTCCTCTGCCCCCCCCCCCCCCCCCCCAAA